AGACCTCTCTGATAAAATCAACTTACAATAACTTGTCAACTTTTTCCTCAATGGCCTATTGTCTTTCAAGGGTAAAAGTTTTTTTCTTTTGTCGAATTGATTTTACCTCAAGATTAGTGTGTAGTATGTGAACCATTACTTTGGTATCAATTCTAGGTATATTTGGATTGTGTCCAAGCAAGCAAGTTGACATTATCTTTTATGAGTTAAATCAGTTGGTCTTTATGTTTGAGCTTAGCTTTGATATGCATGTTATTTTGAGTAATGTTGTTCCATAATAGGATTATCATGAGGTCCTCAACTGACATAGGTCAGTTTATGTTTGAGTCCAGTCTCTGATCAATTATCTTTTTTTGTTAAATTAGGTCAAGATCATTCCTTGTGAAAACAGATCTCGATATGATGATTAGTGTATTAAAGAACTTGTTGAATGTATAAGTAAAAGTGAAATATATTCTTCATTTCATGTTATTTTTTGGCCGACATGTTAGCTCGGTCCAAGTAACATCAAAATGTTCACACCAGCTTAAAAGCTCGATCATTTCTAATGTTGTCTCAAAAAATTTTAAAAATTAAACAAAATTAAACTTTTTCAGAGCTCAAAAGCTCATAGCACACTTTTCCTAGGTTGATCTTATGTTCTATGCTTTTATAGGTAATTTTTTACTCATTGCCAATTCCCTATGTAGGCTTTTCTTTGTTTTCAACCTCAGTATCGATTAAGCTACCTTTCTACTTTCCAATCCCACCCTTTATTATTGTGACGTAACATTGCCATATCATTGGCTAATCTCTTTGAACTTCTCTAACCATTTTAGGTGTTAAAAATTTCATTTTCAAATGAAAAGCTGAGCCTATAAGCCATAAAACAAACTAGCTATGTCGATCTAATATTATGTTATAGATAGAAGGGATATTTACTACCATGAATTCCACGACTAAAGTAATTATCTTTAGTTCAGTCCCTAAGAAGATCAAAAGCTTGACAGTCTCTTATCGGCACCTGTTTATTTCGAAACCTAACTAATATAGTGGTGATCAACTTTAACTGATCTTTACCAATCTTCATTTTCTTCAAATAGCCATAATACATAGTGTCAGTCAAACTTTCTTTGTCAAATAAGATTCTTTTGACAACATAGTTGTACACTAAGACTATAATCACTATGGCATCATCATATGGGTGTTGAATTTCCTTCAGATCTTTTAAGCTAAATTAGATCAGCTTGTCTCTTCAATTTTTTTTTAGTCGAGGTACCTACTACCATTGCCAGCCTAGGTTAAACTTTCTTTTTATCAAGGTGAAGCTATTTTCAGTGATCACGTTAATCATGCTGACAATTAGCCTGCTATTGTTAGCTCGACCTTATTTTTTATTCAATTCTTTTTCTCAAACATCCCTTATTCTTTGCTCTATTTTTCCCTCTCTACCCTAGGTAGGAGTTTTGTAGTCTTGTCTGTAGTCCATTTTATGTCTATCTTGTCTTCTCTGTCCCATAAATCTCTTTAATTGACTTCATCTTATCAGAGCTTCAATCTCATTTTTTAAGTCAACATAATCTTCAATATTATGGTCGATGTCTTTGTGAAAGACATTTTTTTGTCGAATCTCTTCTTATGTTTTATTTTAGTGGCTTAAGCCATCTAAGGCCAAGATTTCTTTCAATTTACATCAAAATCCTCTCATGAGAGGTATTTAATATAGTGTAAGTTTTTTCTCCATCGGTGCTTCTATCCCTATGTTATCTCTTTATTGAGGGAAAATCAGAGAAATCTTTGCCCTTTTTATGATCGCGTAAGAAAGATGAGCCTCTCTCACTTCAATTACTAAAGAAGGGGATGATCCTCTTTCACCTCGATTTATTTTCATTGTAGCTTCAATATTAATGTATTTCTCTACTTTTAGTAGGACGTTAGCCAGAGTTTTTGGCTATTCTAGCTATAATGTGACAACAATGATCATTTGTTCTAGGTCTTTAACCTGTAGAGCTTTCACATTAACATGTATGACATAGCTTTTCAAAATTTCATTTTACCTTTGATGAATTGACATCAAGTTTAGGATTGTTTTCTTTACTTTTTAGGTACTCACAAATTTGAATAAGAACGAGTGGCTAAGTTCGTTAAATGTAGTGATTGACCTCAACTCTAGACTGTTGTACTAGGATCAAGATGCATCTTTTAATGTAATGGCTAGACATTTGTGCATAAAAGCCTCGTCTGTCCCTTATATCTTCATGTTAGTTCTATAAAGTTTCAAATGATCAAATAGGTTAAAAGTACCGTCATATGTCTCCAAGGTTGGCATTTTAAATCCTTTGAAAGGTATGACTCTATCTATTTCTTCACTAAAGGGTGAGGTCTCTAGGAACTTGAGCTCATTCTTAAATACCACTGCCTTTATTTTCAGCTTTTTTTTTATGACTTGCATCCAAGTTTCCAAATCTCTATTCAGTTGAAATTCATGGTCTATTTGTTTGGATTTTTGGGTTGTAGTATATGTACAATTGTGGCTAGGGCGGTGATAAGTTAGGTTTATGTGCTCTTCTTTTTTAAAGGCCAAGAAAGCTTATGCCTCTTCATAGCTCGATTGTTCAACAGCGACTTCTCGGCCAAGTGTGACTAAGTCCAACACTTTTGAGACTTATGGTGGGGTTATAGTTTACAGCATCTGCTTGAGAGCTTGTATTTGATCTGTTAGGGCTTGAAATTATTTCATGGTTGGTCCTACCTGTGGTTGAGCTGGGCAAACAGAATGCTGGCCAAGGTGAGTTTTTGTTCCAACCAAGGTGGTTGCCTCCTTTTCCTCTTCAATTTTTTTTCTAGGTGGCTCAGCTAATACAAGATGTTTCCCTACCTGACACACCAAATGTTGGTGCTAAACTCTAACCTAAAAGTGTTCCAGTAAATGCAAAAGAGAAGGACAGTTAGAGATAAAGAAAATAGGTGTTCCTTACATTTGCATTCTAACGAACAAGTCAGTAAAGATCAGGTCGAAAAAAAAGTAAAAAAAAGAAGGAGAAATAAATGGGATAAACCTGGTTTCATAGTGCTTGAGCCTTCATATTTATAAGTAAGTTAAGGGGAACCATAATGGGACAATTAGGGCAGGGTTAAGCTGAGGTGGCATTGACTATGTCTGGCTGACCTGACATATCAGGCCAGCACAAGTGACAAAAATGCCCCTAGTTGTTTGTTAAAGGCTTTGAGAGAGAAAAAGATCACTATACGCTTTTGACCATCAAATGCCCCTAACAACTATATTTTTTTTTATGCCAATTCATTAAAACGATGTTAAATATTTGTACCTATATCTTAGCAAAGATATTCACCCTTAAAATTATATGCTAATAAATGTAATAGTTATGCCACAAGTGATATATATATATATATATATATATAAGAGAAGAGATCAATTTATTTAGTGTAAAAATTTTTTAGAAAATACACATTTTTCTAACATTTAATTTTAACAAATCTAAGGGATAAAAAAGACAAATAAAAATAGAAAAAATGATTTAATCTCATCCTTACATCTATTGAAATAAATAATTAAAAAAATATAAACTAAAAAAATTTTACATTATATAAGTTGATCCCTTTTATATATATAGATATTGCAAACGTATAGATTTGGATTCAAGTTGAGTTAAGTTTTATTGAGTTAATCAAATTTAAATTCAAGTTAAAATAAAAATATTACTTTTAATTTTAGTACTAAGTTTAGGTTATTAGCATTTAGTTCGAATCGATTTTATAGTTGAATTGTGTTAAGTTTGAGTTATCTCAAAGTTAAATTTCTTAAGTTTGGGTCTTTGTTAATTTCAGTTTAAGCGAGGTTTTCATATTCAAGTTAATTTTGCTACCCACTTATAAAAATTTATTTATAAAATTTTTAAACTACTATTGCAATTTGCAAGTTTATATAATTAAATATCAGGAAAAGAAAAAGTAATTCGTGTTTTTTTAATTTTCTTAAAGTATTTGAATGTTAAAAACAAACGAAAGTTGAACAATTTTTATGTAAAGATTTATCTTGTTTAAGGAATTGGAGGAGAAACATGCAACAAAGCTCAGTTTTAAGTCAAGTGAAGTTGAGTTTACAAAATTCCAAGTGGCTTAAAAGCTCAAAACTTTTCTGCCAACACTCTTGCATGCATGTCAGTTACTATTATGGGTTTATGACCATGGATCCAAACTGTAAGTTTTGTTCTGGTTGTTGGAGAGAACTGGGGCAATATGATCAATGCCTTCAACTTCACCCAAATTACAATGAAAAAAAAAAAGGACAAAAGAGCTTCCGAAATATTGTGGTCTTAAAAGAGGAGTCAAATCATTTTTGTACTGGAATTTCGTTTAGGAATAATTGTTTACATAATTTTTTAATTATGAGATGAAATAAAAATATAAGATTTAATAAATTAAAATAGATATTATTTTATAAATTGATATAAATAGTGATAATTTAATTTAAAGTTGATTATGAAGTAGAAGCGATGCATAATCGAAGATAATTAATTTTTTTGGATTGAAGATGTTATGATTTTAAAGGAAAACTATAAATCTTACATTAAAATGTATATTAAAATTTGATTTGAAAAATGTGTACGAGATAAAACCGTAACGCCTAATGAGCTTAAGTTAACAATATCTCGCCTGTGAAAAGAAAAACAATATCTTGTATAGTTGTGAGAATTGTGAGGCAAGGTTTGTTCCGCCCTTTGTTGTACTCCTTCCCTGTGTAAAGAGAAGAGTTCAAGTTAGGATAGACCACCACTGCTATTCTCACCTGCTCCCTCCCAAATTCTCTATTCCAAAAAGGTTTCTTTTACTTTTGCAACCCCACAAAACCCTCAAACCATAAGGATTTTTTTTTTTTTTTCAGTAACCCCACAAAACCCTCTAACTATAGTTTATTATTATTTTTTTAAATAAGATAACACGAGCTCAAACTATAAGTTATTTCAAAAAATAATAATAATAAATAAGAGAACACGAGGCTTTTGTTCTTGGATAGACAGGCACTTGAAGATATGCAAATAGGCCTAAATCTTTTGGAATCATTGATGAAATACTGAATTGTGCAATTGTAAAAGATTAATCTACCTATCAACTATTTTTTTCATGGCAATAATTTTCTCTCTTTGAACCCAAATTGCCAACTATTTATAAAGATTATTGGAGAGGATAAAGGAAGATCCGTAATTGAGGAATCCAAAGTTCTAAAAAGGAAGTTGTATATTTTTAAAAAATTGATCATTACGTAAATTAAATTCATGAATACATCCGAGTGTAAAGTGCATATTTTTAACAGATTATTTTCACCCGAAAAAAATATATTCACATTTCTATTATTTTATATTATGTTGTTTTATAAAAAAAATTAAAAAAGGACAACATGGCTTTATAAAATAAAGTCAAAGTATTAGACCTTTACCAATGCAAAAGGTGAAGATAACCCAAAATTAGATGTCATGAACCCCTATCCTAATCTCCAGCCATTCTAACCTGTATTCTAAACAAAGTATGACCCTATGATCATAGTATTATACTAAATCCAACATTCCTAGCTTAGAATCTCCTAATTGCATCAAGGGTTCAAATACAGATGCTTTACATGTAGACTAGAAATGAATTTCATTGCATCCTTTGCTTGGCATCATGGATTTGAAACATAAGCTGCATGTAAAAGGTTTTAGGTAAAAATTAGTCCTTGCCAGGCCATAAGACGTTAAAAACTCACGAGGATGCTTGGCATCTAGAAAATAATCAATGCTTTATTTGGTAGGAATGATCGAAAAAGGGTAAGGACGGTAAATTCTTTAGTCTAATAGTTGAGATTCATTGTAGCTCAACCTTTCGACTAAAATTTTTTCCTTCCATTCTCTTTTCCATCCTTCCTACTAATCAGAGTGTAGGGTGCCTCATGCCATTTACCTTAGTTCCCACATAAAATGACGTAAGCATAAAACCCAAGACATGCAGTCCTGAAAAAAAGATATTGCATCAATTGCAGCTACAAGGAAGAAAGAGATTTATGACGGTAAAAGGACTATCATACTCCCATACCTTCTTTGCTGAGGAATCGAGAAATCAACCAATTAATGCCTGATGGGCCAATAACATAGCCAACAAGGTTAGCAACCTGCATAGAGAAGAGCTTGATAAATAGAGTATGCAAAGTCCATTTCTCGTGGAAAGCATCTACTTTTGTCACAAACTGCAGTTGGAAAAAAAAAAAATCTATTTCATCATAATTTTTGCTTACTTCCATGCAACAAGGTTCCGTTTGATTGATGCTTTTGTTATTTACTTTTTCTTTTTGGAAGCAAATAAGAGGAAAGTGTGTCTGGATACGAAAACAAAATATTTAAAGGATCATGCATGAAACATGTTAACTCTTTTAGATGACAAAATGCATGATTCCACTTTATATAGACTAATTATGTTATAATTCATGTTACATTTTAATTATTTGTCCATTTCAAATCAATTATGATATTGTTTTTTATCTTTTGCTTCTGCTCTATACCAATTTTTCAAAATGCATAAAACAAAAGACAAATGTTATAAAGTAAGTGGCAAAAACATCAACCATAACAAACCTGAATAACAAGCATTAAAAACATTCAATACAACAACAATAACAACAACAAACTAAACCTTATATCCCATAATTCGGGAGTCAACTGTATAAAAAACACTTAATAATCCAACGAATTCATGATCATTAATTTGGCAAGTAAATTTTCAAAACAAACTTCTCTTTGCTAGTAAACATCACTTAATAGAACAAAGCTCCCATTAAAATTCATTGATTCAGCCATTCAGCAAAAGGTGCATCGCAAAGAAGGCTAGCAACTACAATAACAACTTTTAACTGAATTAAAAATGCTCTTGACATATCAAACAGTGGAAAACAACACGCATATGAAATATCAGATGTAGATAAAACGCTTGCATGGAAGAATGTGGAGTAAATTAGAAGTTACAATATTAGATTTTCTATGCTCACACTAAAACTGACCATGAGACAAGTGATTGTGATAGCACCAGCAACTGCACTAAGTTCGCGAAAAACAAATCCTCCCAAAGCACCCTCAGCCTGAAAAAAATATATATTGGAACATTGAACTAAAAATCATGAAGCTTGTCAAAAAAGAATAAAATTTTTGTTGCCTTATTTTATAATAGCACTACTTAAGGATCAGGTGCCATCACAAAACCTTGGAAGATCTAAGCTGTAGACAAAGAACTTTAACTTATCTTAGACCATATGATGCTAGCAAAAAGGCAGGAAAAATTATTATATCATTAACCTTGTGTAACAAATTTACATATATCATTATGTGCATGCATTTGATGGGTGATAGAAGTTCATTAGTGCATTTTTCCACGCATTAATACTCATTTGAGAACAGTATTGCAGAGGTTTTTTCCTTTAGGCTGACCAGATTAAACAATATGCCAACCAAAATACAAGCAAAACTTACACAATCAAACAGTATATAGACTTGTTTCACATTTCCACTATTGAGCACTAAAAAGGAATTGGGAGGAAGTTATCTTCAGGTTGAACCATATTTCGAATACATGTTAAGTTCTGGATATGTTGGCCACAATAGCCCAAACCACACAAGATTAAAGCCACTTATGCTTTTTACACAACCTCTTTTTCACTTGCATGCTCGATGAGAGGTAAACATTTCAGAGCAACAGATTACTTGCCAGACAATGATGCCAGTCAGATGCCTTAGGCTAACTAACAAGGTTTAAAAAGTTACAAAATATGCCAAATTAATAACTGGTAGAAAACATAGACTTAACCTGGAATGCATTTGCTGCTGATTTCACCAACATTTCAGGAACAAAGAATAAACATGTTAGCCATGCCCATGAAAGAAGTTTCCTAATGACCAAAAGGCAATAAGCAGTTAGATTAGGAATAGGAACAGAACAAAGAAAAGAACAACCCAATAGCTCAAGATACCATTCTAAATCATGCCATACGGCAACAAATGTGAATATAACCCATATGTTGAGTAGCTTTCTCTGAGATCCACCAAGAGGAATATACATGTATCTAACAGTGAAATGATATTGTAAGTTGGCATGTAAGATATAAAATACAGAAAAGAGAACCATAGAGAAAGTATTGGCAAATAAAAACCTCACAATCCACTTGTTGAAGGACGCATGCCAACTTTTCCAAAAGCTTTCCAAATTTTGGCAATTATTGACACACTTTGGCATGTTTTCAGGGGCCTCAATGCCAGCTATCTACAATTACAAAAGTGTAAATAAATAAAAAGATAATGATGCTAAAATTTTTGGCACAATTTATAACTGAAGGGTGGACTGGTGTGATCCAAGGATTAAACCATCTAGGAAGAATCTTAACAAGACTGCATGTAAAATGTACTAAAGAAAACACCATCCATTAAGTGAACATACCAGAGACCAAAACCGAAAATAGCGCCAGATAAGGAAAAACTTTAACCACATGAAGTTTACGACCTGTACCAGTATGAGGAATGGCATTAGACTTAACTTTAATGCATTTACACTTGGAAACTTGTGATCAACAAGATATATAGCAACTTACAACAATATGAACCCCAAGTTATTGTAGAGTTTATATCTTATTAAAACTAGTCGTTGAGGCTGCTTGTATTGCTCAACAATTGAAAAGGATTCATTAGGCGGATGGAAAATAAGTAGCTTATTTTCTCTTTATAGATGGTGCATAAGGCCCCAGTTCTCAACAACTTTTACGAATGGTGCTTGATAGCTTGAGTAATATCTTTTTTTCAACCATACGTCACCCTTCTCAATATTGATTTTGACAATGAAAATCTTTTCTTAAATGTTGGGTGCTTCAGGATCAATGGGTAGTCAAGATATTCTGGCCACCTTACATAAGCTATTTCCGTCTGGACTAGTCCAAATGATACCGATTATACAGACACAGAATAAAACGGCAATATTTTATAAAGGGTAATATTGATTCTTTTGATTTGCTTTCTTTGCAAAGCAAACAGATGTTCTGAATGGAACATAATTTCCAGATGAATTTCATTTTCCTTTCATAAATATAATAACATAGATACCATCCAATACTCTTAATGCAATTTTTAGGCATGCACTTCTTTCATGTGTTAGGGAAAGTGGGTAAGAGTAGTTCTATTCACATATTATAATAGACCTTAAGGCTCCATCATTGTCTTAACTCGTGAATATGTAAACTGCCATATTTTAAAGATTTCCAAACGAGATTTAGATAACCAGACTCTTAACTCCTTACCCCATATCCAATGATGAATATGTCCATAGGAGATAACTTTTTCCATGAACCACTGGTCATTGCAAAAAAAATTGTAGTTACCATACAGTAAGATGGGCTCTAAAAGATTTCCTAAATTAAAATGTAAACTTGAACCATGAGTTTCAAGAAACTCACCTGGCAGCAAAGGCATTGAAATAAAACAAATGAGTCATTAGTTCCATAAGAGACAAACTGAATACCCAACGTAGCCCATACCATGTCACCTCTATGATTGAGTAATGATTTTGCGGCACATCTAACTGCAAAAATTAGTAGCAAGGAAGCCAAATGAAATTACACCACTTATCACTGATGAGTAGATGTTTGACTGGAAATATATACTGTCTGAAATACAGAAATATGTAACCTAAATAGGGAAAATTTCTAACAAATACATGACCAGGGTACATACAATAAGAATGAAAGGTACCAATGTAATGTTTGGGAAAATAAATTTGAGAGAGTGAATTTGGATTCGGTTCATTATAAAGTTGTGAGAGTGAATAGAGAGCATTATGTAAAAACTGGTGAAGATTAAATAAACTCATGTATTTGAGATGGAATAAGAAGATCAATTTATAAATTTCCATTATTTAGTTTAGGCATTTCAATTCCATCCCTAGGTAGAGATCTAACAAATCCACGAATTTGAAAATAATCATGAAAGTAATGTTTTCATGAGTTGTATAACAAAATTTGTTTTATGTTTGAATCCAAATCCTCTCTTTCAAATTCAAGTTCCCAAGTGCAACCTAAGAGAATTTAGACAGTGTAGTTTAGTAGATTAGACAGATCAGGAAACATTTCATATGGAACTAAAATTTTAATTTTCTATTTCTTGCTATAAGAGGGATGAGTGTTAATTAGTTTAATTGCTTGTGCACACGCATGTGCACAAATAGCTAAATGATTTGTAGTTTCAAATGCAAGCTTCAAGAATGCATTCAATTACACCCACTGCCTTCAATGATTAGTAATAGCCAGGAAGATATAACTACTTTGTTTTTTTTTCAGTATGAGTAGTAACTAACTTTAAATCATATGCCATCATGATAAGGTAAAACAGCAGACTGTGATTCCACTTCAACCATAGGAGGTATCTAAAGTCTAAAGCTCTCATAAAATATGTGCACAGGTGATTCCGTGTACAAAGACACACACACACACACACATATATATAGAGAGAGAGAGAGAAGAACAAGAAAGAGAAGCATAGTACCGATCATGAAATGACAAACCTGTGAGGCAAATGCATTAAAACTTATGATTGGCCCGGCAATGTAAAGAGGTGCATACACCAGATAACTAAGGTAAGTTGTAAAGGCAAAATTGTTGGTATGGACATTTCTCTCCTGCACAACACATGTATTACTTTCAGGCAATAGCAACAGGAAGTTGGACTCCCAATTAATTAGTAACTAACCTGTAGAATTTGGTAACAAACTTTTCCTGATTTACAGACATGGCATCTTCGGATATGTTTCTGCAATTACCGAAACATGAAATTATCTGAAAACTTGATTCTAGTTAGAAAGATATGCATATTTTGTCTATGTGCAAAGGTAAACTCTCAAATATACATGCCTAGAGATCAGAAATGTTTCAAAGAGAAATGGAAACATAAGAGTTCTTTTAATGGATAGATCCACAATGCAGGATGTTTTAAAATTCACAGAAAAGTTGTTCTTTGTGACAAGTATGTGAAGATTGGAAACACTGTTTATGCCATTGAAACCAGAGTTTTGAAGATTAACTTAATTGCAAATGAAAAGACACAAGGATGGTGCTATACATAATCACAGCTGCACCTAGTTTAAAGGTTGCACCAGAAATGCAGAAAGGAAGCAAAGAATGACTAATGTCCTTGTACAAGACAGACAGTTTCTGAAATTGAATCTACAACTCCTAGACTACTTACAAAGTGATTGTCCACTGTTTAGTAACTTTCAATCCCATTTGCCTAACAGATAGGGTAATAGACCTCATAGTTGAATTGATATTAATTTGACAGAAAGCAAGGAATCATGCATGGTGCAGATACAAGAGAAAATTTCCAATGATAATATGAAGGAGACAAAAAGAAGTGGCAGCAGAGAGGCAGGAGAAGGTGAGGAAAAGGGAGACAAAGAGAGGAAACTACCTCTTGATCAAAATGAGAATCTCGATGAGCCCAATGGTAATCGTAGCCAAAGCTTATCATGCGCAAAATAACTTCCAAACAAAAAAATCAAAATAAATAGTTATAAAATGTATCATAAGATTTATTTAAACTGTTATATAACAGCTTAAGAGTTAGAAAGTTAGTTAATGAATGAATATCATTCTTTAATTGAGGAAGGAAGAACATTCTTCTTTGAGAACCATAAAAAATTTTGTTATAAACAGTCATTTACTCAGAATTCTCATTACTGGAATCAGACAGACAGCTAATGTGTAAATTGCCTTTTCTATACATATGTATTGTCAAGTTGACCTTTGTTTCTAAAACCACAATCACCACTAATGAGATTCCTTTTAAGCACTTGTCCTTATGTAGTTTCAAATATCATAGCTATTTATTTATGAGGCCTTAATTTTTAGCCAATGCTTGACAGTACTGACAAGCAATTCATGATATTTTATAACCAAGTTATGAGTTAATATTGATCAACCACCCAAAGAACATGTTGAACACGAGCAATAGCAGCAAACCAGAGATGAACCATTCCAAGCACCATGGCTTACTAACTTCCTGTTTAATCTATACATAGTTCACTAAACTCATCAAAAGGAAAAGAAAGGGATTTGTGTTTAAGGAAAAAATGAAAAATAATACCATGCTTCTTCTGCTACTGGGTAACAATGTTGGTTTGTACAGGAATATTCTATCTTTTCTTTTGAACATTAAATAGAGAAGTCTTGCATCTGTTAAGTAAGCATTATATTCATTAAATTCTAATCTCACTAAATTGTAAATGCAAGAAAGTACCAAAGTTAAAGCAAATATGCCATCTAAATGTGCCTCGAAATTTGTCCAAATACGCCCAGTGTTGCCTGCTTGCAACAACAACAACAAAAAAAAAAGACAATTATAATTAGCAAGATTAGCATACCATATGCACACACACACACACACACAGATATATATATATATATATTTCCCAACAAAGTAAAAATCATGTAGCTTAGACCACTCACCCAAATTTGGAGAATGAATATCCTTGATAAACACGGTTGGCAAAAAGAAAAACTAGATTGAAAATCCAAAGTAGAAGTGGGAAGTACTTTGCATTTGCAAATATCTGCGGAAACAGAAATCTAGTAGTGGTATTAAATTAGATGTATTTGCAGGCAAAAATGATGATAAAAGAAGTAGAATTTAGACAAGAAAATTGATTAAAAATGAACCTTTACTAGAAGAAAGTTTGCTGAAGCAATTAAAAGGATAAAGATGATGCTGCCAAAACAATGGGGACAGACAGGGCTAACATTAAGACAGCAAAGCAAGAAAAGAAGAAGAAGACAAGTTTAGTGAAGGAGTAAAATGAAAGGAAAACTGACCAAGCTCCATGAAGATAAGACAGGTAAATGAGAGAAAGGAAAAGCCAAATAATGGACATCCCTTTGGCTCTGAAATGGAATGATTTCCCGGCGATATTAGCCAGCATTGTAAACACCCCAAAGACAAGGGTAAGAATGGGTAAGTTTGCTCGGAAATTTCTCCATTGGGCATCAGAGACATCCTACATACAACAGTAGAAATGCATCGTAATCACATTCAAACAATTATTAAAAAGGATTATTGAGAATGGCAGGGAAATCTTAAAACAAGATTACAAACATTAAGACGAGGAGGGAAAAGCCATCCGGCACGCAAGCCATGGAGTTTGGAGAAATGATCTGCTGCAAACAAAGGCGATTGAATTTACAGAATATAATAGTACAAGAGAAACCCAAAAAGAAAAAAAAATGAAAATCGAGAAAAAAAAAAAAAAGCAAGTACCGCGAGAGAGGTGAAGAGATCGACAGATGCAAAAGGCGTAGAAGCCAATTGCATAAAGAATTAGAAGGATCAGCTCCACTCTCTTCTTCTGATTCTGTTTCAATTTACTCTTACCCTTATTATTGTTATTATTCATATTCATATCCATATTCAACTAAAAAAATCCCCAAAAAAAAAAAAAAAAACTAAAAGTGGTATTTTCAATCTCCAAAAGTCCAAAAATCATTAACCATATTTAAACACAAGAAAATTAAAATTAAAATGATAGATTTAACTAAGTAACTGCCTATGGTTGAAATGATCCTTTGACGAATCTGAGAATTGCTGTTTTGAAAATGACCCACCGACAAAAAGACTTGTAAATTTATGCCAGACGCAAAAAAAATGAAGAGAAAGAAGGAGAGAATGTGAGAGAGTGAAGGGAACGAAAGGAAAACACAATAGCAGAAGCGCACGTCGCCAGCGACCGAGCGACACCGGGAACAAGGAGGCAGAGAAAAGGGGCGGACTAACTGTAGTGAGAAAGAATATAATTGACGTTTTATGTAAATAAGAGTTTGATATGTGAAGATTGCTTCAAAAATTATTTATCCATGATGATTAATCTTAGGTGCCCATGATCTTAAACTATTAATGGTGATCAAATCACTGTTTTTAAGATAATTTAATATTTATAAAATTTTTATTATTAAAGTAAAATGATTTATAAAATTAATAATTTTTAAAATTATCACTTAATATATGCATTAAAATTTTATTTTTTAAATTACAATTATTTTATATTATAAATTTTTTATATTTTAAAATTAATCTTATTATAATAAATTTAAAAATAATTTATATATTTTTTTAATATTTGATATATAATATAATCCTTTTGTTGTTATTTTATTATGGATTTAATATGTTGGTTTTATGTTTCCATCCAAGTATTTTTTACATTGTTTATATTATAAAAATTAGTTTATTTATCAATAAATACTTATTAATTTAATAATTTAATTATATTTTATTATAAAATAAATAAAATATTACTAATATTTAACAAATTATTATTTTAAATAACATTAAAATCATTAAATTGTATAACTACTCTAATATTTATAATTATTTTGGTATTATTAAATAAAATAATATTTGATTTTTAATGATACCAAATATAATGATCTTTAATTATTAAGTATTAATAATTATTAATCAGATCAAATAATTATTTTAAATCACCAATGATAAGATCATTTTTTATAATAAAATCTCTTTCGAAGGATTACATAACCACGATAATTTTATAAAAGATACTCAATGTTACTTAAATAAAAAATGAGTTATGATCACATTTAAAACTCCAAGCTTTATTGTCTTTGTTAATAATAATAACTTACAACATACTTGTGTTTTGTTGCAAATCTAAAATTTTTTTATTTATAATTAATAATATTGAATTTAATAAATTAATGAATATAATTTCATTTACAATTTTTGAATAAACATAATAATTAGTGAAAATATATTAACTAATTTGTGAATAGTATATGCGTTTTATTCTTATAACTTTATAACAAATTCAAATACAAATTCATTCTTTCAAATTTTATTTTTCTAAACATAGTTAAAAAGTATTAAAATAGATAATTAAATAAATAAAACTAAAAAAAAAAAAACCTAAACAAAAAAAAATGAAAAAGAGTAATGAGGATATCACATGGACACGTCTACTTATGAATGGTAACAAATATGATAGGGGTAGATTTATGTTCATCAATTTTGATCTGGTATAAAATTATTATTTTTTATACTGACCCATGCTCGACATAACTTGCATTCGACCTAACTTGACAAAAAATTAATTTAATAATATAATATTTATATAAATTTTTAATATAAATTACATCTTAATTATATATAAATATAGTCTTTGTTAAATAAATATATTAAATAATAACATTATTAATATAATATATATAAATCAAATTAAATAAAGGATAAATTACACGAATGATCACTTAACGATGGAGTTATTTTAAAATAATCACTAACGTATTAAAATTTTCAATTTAATTACTAACATTTGACTTAATGTTTTATTTTTTGGTTATTGTACCGTTAAACCATAATGTTTTATTTAATGTGGCTTGACTCATTAGAAATAGTCAATTCCACATTATGCATTTTTTACATGTCACACAAAATTATAATATTTTTTTATTTCATTCCTCCATCGCCAATTCTTTCCTTATTCTTTTATGTTCATTCCCTCTTTTTTCATGTTCATTCCCTCTTTTGTTGACTTTTTCGTTGTTTATTTTTTTTCTGGTTTAGGATGAAAAACGTTACTATAATGATTTCTTTTTGTCATTGTGAGTTACCGGATGATTTGAGGACCTCCTAGTCAAATAAAAATCTTAGAAAAAGGTTTTTGGGCTACAAGAATTATATGTATTCATATGAATGTTGTTTCTTCAATTGGTATGATCCATCAGTTAGTGATTGTGCAAAAGTTGTACTTATTGAACTTTTCAGAAAAGTGAGAACCGTTAAGAGCCAACGAAGGAAAGAACGAATAATATGAATTTTGTTGTTGGCCTCTTGTTTGATTTTCACTTTCATTAAGATCTGATATAATGGTTTAGGGTTGTTTAGTGTTTAAGGTTATGTATTATAGGTTTAGGTAATGTTTTAAATGCATTAGGGTTTAAGGCATTGAAGGATTATGGGTTTTTTATGTACTTTGCATCAAATGTTAGTGAATGATAACAATCACTTGATGTGTTTTATATAGTGTTTTAGGTGCATTAGGCGTAATAAAAATAAAAGATTATTAGTATTTTCTTGTATCAAGTGATAGAAAATGATAATAACCACTAGTAAGTCAATTTATTTTGTAATAAACTTTGCTTACAAAAAATCATTTTATAATGAACTTGGTACCAAAAAGGATTATTGGTATCAGAAGATCATTTTGTATTAAGTGGTAGCTATACTATGTAATGATTTAGATTATGTAATGAACTTAGTACTTTACGTGGCTATTTTAGCAAGTTGTTGTAGTAAATTTATTTGAGTTAGATAAGCTTTTATTTTGTAACATGGATGGATCCCTTTACAACAAGTTCAGCCATGTTTAACAAATCACCTTCCATAATTAGTATAAAATTATCCCTTTACAACAAGTTCAGTCATGTTTAACAAACCACCTTCTATAATTAGTATAAACTTAACTTTAATGAACTTATAATTTCAACAAACATGTAACAACAGATAGAAATAGTTAACAGATCCTAAACTTAGTACGAAATCTAGTATTGATAATGATAAAGCATTTACATTAGTCCCAGTAAGTATGTTGGACTTGAAACAAACTCTTAAATATCAATATTATAAACTCCTTATTAAAAAAAAAAGAAACTCTTTATCAACAAAAAGAACCTTTATATCTATACCTTCTCAAAAAGAAACTTGTTATCAATCCAATTAAAATAATAAAAGACTTAAAACAACAAAAGACATTTTTGTTGCATAAATGCCCTAAACTAGTCATATACATAAAATACCCTAAATCAATCATGTACACAAAAACAAACTCCATTGCAAGTTGTTGTTGGTTTTTTATTTCAAGGTAGTTAGCTTTACTAGTCCTTTAGTATCTTTGTTTTGTTGAACATTGGTTGCAGGTAGCTTTTTCTTGGTAAAATTCTTAACCAAGTATCTTCACTGCACTTACATTCTTTTTTGTTTAGCTTTAGTACTTGTTGGAGTTCCAATAGGTTCAGAAAGTCCACTTAATCCAGAGATAAAATTATGTTGTGATTGAAAAGTTTAACTAGAGCCTTACACATCAATATAATAAATGATTCAATATTTATGATTTAGAGTTTTTTTTTTTTTAGGTTGGGTTTATGGTAGATAAAAGAATTGTTTACATTAGACATGTATCTTACAATTGTTAGAGGTGGCTAAACTTGGTTTCTAAATCTTTTGATTTTGGTTTGAACCTAAAAAATACATTAGAAGTATAAATATTTAGATTAAATGATACCTTCTTAGTTATAGAATCTATAGCCTTTTGATTAGTATTTCCAACAACTCTCCTAACCTATAAAATAAAAATCACATTATAAGTTACTATATTTTGTCTATTATTATCATTAATGAATATAAATAAATGAACCAAAATACTCATAGGTAACTTTGAGAATTTCTTCTTGCTTGTCTGTCAAATCCCCTAATTACATTTAATCTATTATTACCACTAACCTCTCTTCTGCATGTCTTAACATTATGCTCTGATTTTTCACATTTGCTACAGCTGAGTTTCCCTCTTCTCTTATTAATTTTGAATTGACTTTCACCTATTTCATTTGTTTTCGTCCTTCTATTCTTATGTGATATTCTAGGTGGCCTTTTTATAATGGGTGGTAATATTGGTTCTAAAGTGCCATCACTTATCCATTGATTTGCACCTTTGATAGGGCAAATGAAGTTAGAATATATATTGACTTGAGTACTCTTGCTATAGCATGGATTGATATAATTTTCAAGCCTTTCTTTACTCAAGAACATGACTTAAATAGCATGTATGTATGGAATCCCAAAGATACCTCATTTTGTGTATGAAAGGGTATGCAATTGAAAGTCAACTACATACCGATTTAATGGCCCACATGTTACTTGGTATTTTGGACCATCAGCATGTTTAGGCTACTAGCTACATGACTCTAAGACAATATGATCTAACTTTTTTTTTTTGTATTTTAAGGCAAAGTGGTCTAGTATACTTTTCAACTGTTTTATTCTTCGAGACAATCCTTTGCATTAATTTTGTCCTAATAATCTCCATCATTGTCAAAATAAGCTTATCCCTTGCATCCAAAATAAACTTGTTAAATGACAAATTATTTAGAAGCATGTCACACTTGACCATTGCAGAAAAATGAGACTTAGACCACTGAGCTGAATTGAATCTTTTCTTTTAAACCATTTGTATGTATCAATTGACAAGTCTTCTATTTCCTTCATTACATCTTCAAACTCTTTCAAGTAGGTAACTCTAACAGCTTTTCACAAGTAGTATTTTAATAATTTTTCTTTGTTTGCTGCGTTTGACTTACATTTTGTGTATAAATGTCTAGCATAGTTTTTGTGCTCAACATGAAGCACAATATCCAAAAGTGCATGCACAAGTCACCATAAAAATAATAAAAAAAATAAATATTAGTTGTATACCGTAACCTTAATTTCGTATTTAAAAGGAACTAATTATAAATTAAAGGGAAATTTTTCATACCTTTTGTTTGTTTGATATAAAAGTCTAATGATAAGAATTTATAACTTCAAAGTCATTTTTTAGCAAAAGCAAAACCAATACCAAGACTACCAATACCAAGACTCATAGTTTTCATTTTCAATAGCTATATAAGTTAGTAGATAGATGCAATAATTTGATCAATCCCAACAGCTACCAATAAGTGTCTACCATAATACCCTTTTAGGAAACAACTATCAAGACAAATAATATGCTTACAACTAGCTTTAAACTCATCTTTACATGCTTGTAAACATGTATACATCCTCTTATATAATTTGCACCATAAAAAACATATTATTGTGGTT